ATACACACTTCTCATTTGCCTTCTTCTGTTCTTAAATTATTTATCACATCACTGTACTGTCCTCCCTACCCTCCGTGTTTTGCAGCCCCAATCCTTTCCACCGCGTTCAAGCAGAGGTTGGGCTGTCCGTGCGTGCACAGGTCACATTGAAGACACGCCAGCCACGGGTACACAACCACAGCGTCGCCAACCTTCACTTCTGAACCTGCATGGTCAAGTGAATTTAAAAAGAATAAAATAACATTATGAAATATTGAATCATATAAAAAAACAATAAAATGTTCTTGTGAAGAAAATGAATGACATTGGTAGGTCTACTTTCATTATGATAATTTTACCCGCTAAATGTTGCTGAAGATATTTTTAGCATATATTGTATACTAATACACAAACCAATTGCAATGCCAATGAACATTTAACGCGTTGTGTTGACAGAAGGGATAAATAGATAATTAACAGAAATAAATTTAATTTACCTGCCTCGCTTCCGACTGCTTCAATGATTCCCGCGATCTCATGGCCTGGTAATGTAAGATTATAAATAGATTTTATTTAAAAATCATGTACATTTGATATGCATATGTATATTGTGCGGGTGCATCTGCAGGCACGTGAGCTCGTTAATCAGGTTTATTCGATTGCATTCAGCGTGAGTCCCCGTGGTGTTAGTGTGCACTAGCTAGTGCGCATGAACTCATTCTGACACCCCCAAACGCACGTTGTCTGACTCTCATACTGTCACGTACCGGGTGCCAATGGAAATTTTATAAATTTCCCCGCAGTGAGCTTCATTTTGACGCCATCCCCCATGTCCATCTCATCTTCCCATATGTGGACGTCGGAGTGGCAGACGCCAGAGTAGGTAATCTGAAATGGAAACAAAATTTCACTGGCGGATAAAGGGTTATGCTAAGGCATCTATTTATTTATTTATTTATTTATTTATTTATTTATTTTTGGATGAAGTGGGAAATTTCGCTGTTTATTTAATTTTAATATCGTGATAAGAATATATATTTCTCAAGAAGAAATACAGGGCAAAATTAATTGTGACATCGGAAACTAAGAAGTTATTCGTGTGATAATCCAATAAACATTCGAATATTATCCTGTATTTAATTTTCATTTGTATAAATATATATGTTATATTCCTTTGAGAATGGGAATGGGAAGGAGGAGCATGGGGAGGGGGTTAGCAGTACATTCAAAATCAAATGACATATGCACGGAGTAACAACATATCTTGGCTTCCTTCGACCAAATTGTGCCCATAAAAGGTGTTTTTTCATTCAGCGTGAGTCCCCGTGGAGTAAGTGTGATATTTGTCTGAATAGCTGTAAAACGCAAAATATAACAAATATAGCACAGGTGCAGTGCTTACTTATGCCCGATTTAAGTGTGCATCGAATGACTTACCAATTCATTCACCAAATGTCACTTAAATCAGGGAGTAAGTACTACATTACTAAATGTATGGTTTATTGTTTACCAGTTCACAGTAATGAAGTATATTTCATAATAAATTCGTTTTAATCATTAAAAACTTCTATCAATGCATAAGAAATACTTTAAACTTTTTAAATTAGCAGCTGGGAATGAACCACAATGTTTCCTCCCTGCCATAGTATATAAGGTTCTCATCCATTCTAAGTAGTCTACGTAAATAAAGTAATATTGAGTAAGAATCGTGTAAGATCTTTGATCTGCTGATAAAATTCGTAAACCCAAGAGTTGGTGTCTAACTTGTGATTACATGTAAATTTTATTGGATAGTTACGTTACATTTCATCTACTTCCATAGTCAAGATAACAAAGTCACTTTTTTTAAAGATTCCCCGTGACTTAATGTTCTCCTGTAAATTGAGGAGAAAGGTAGGACGGAATCACATTCTGATAGTATGTTTATATAGTATGCACAGCATACAAAACTGAAGAAAAGGAGATACAATAATTTTGTAACAGACTACTAACGGACACTGTGGTCAGAGAGTAGGACCGGTTGGCATTGTAATTAATTTAAATTACAAGTTAAATTCACTTTCAACTCTGATATCCGAATAAGATTAGCAGAGTAACCATTTG